CCCACACGTGTCAGCCTCTGCGTCAGGATACCCTACCCTACACTTGCCTACTTTTCCCAGCCAAACCGACCCCCCCTGTCGGGATCTAGATTCCTTGAGGATATCCTTATCACGTTGAACATCGTATCGTGATATTAATATGGGCACCCCAAAATAATAATAACGATAGTAATAATAGTAGTAGTAGTAGTAGTAGTAGTAGTAGTAGCAGTAATACTCGTCTCCTGGCAGAAATCAAGGATATTTACGAAGGTACGTACCTAGGTAGGTACAACGTAGTATCCTCAACAATTCAGTATCCTTACCTATATCATGGAAGGTTTCACTGCGCCTACCTAGTAGGTACCTGAACCCGGGACTGCTCACTCAGCAAGCAGCGAGACGACAACGAGGACGAGGAGCTGAGAGGGGATGATTTTATTGGGTTATTTTATTTGATTTGATTTGATTTCGTTTCATTTCATTTACTTGTGTTATGTATTTATTTTTGTTTTTTTTTGTTGTTGTTTTTTCGTGTGAAAGAGAGGAAGAGGGTGGGATGGATCCAGGTTGGATGGATGATGGATGATGGGTCGGTAGTGGTTTGTCGATTTACAGGCAAGCGCAACATCTCGATTTGATAGGTAGGTAGGTAGGTAGGTAGGTATGTCGTCGTATCGTACCGGTATCGCCCCCCCCCCTTCTTCAACGGAGTCGAGTTGTAGATCCATAGTTAATATTAGGGGTTAAGAACGGGCATAGTTAATATTAGGGGTCAAGGACGGGCTATCAGGTTGGAAATGGGTATATTGGTTGTACGGATATTGGTTCTTTCGGGTAGGGAACCTAGGTTAGGATTTGAAAAACGGAAAACGAAAACTCTCTCTCTCCCTTTTGGACAATACGGTAGGTATCGCTCTGTGTAGGTAGCTCTTCCATGAGATGGCACAGGACACATAGGCATGCGCTGAGTCGACCTCGGGATCTTCTTCATCTTCATTCTTGAATCTGAGGTGATTCGTTCGGAGAAGGAAGATCCAAGGATCAAGAGTGAAGAGTTGAATAGCGTCTAGAGTATATATATATATATACATATATATCACTCGTTCAGTTCCGGGGGATTCCAAAAGAGCGATAGCTGGGTAGAGAGTACATATCTATTTCATCATTCTTGAATATCGTCGATATTAAAAAATATATTACCATTTTAGTTCTGGGGGATTTCCAAGAGATGGTTGGGTGGAGATGTATCCCGTTTGCCATTACTGCAAAAGGAGTAAAGATCGTCGCCATCTCGAGACCAGGTGTCGGGTCCTCGGCTTTCCATGTTTTAATAGGTGCGGATGTCTCTCCCCCTCTCATTCTTGTTTTTTTTTTTTTTCCTGCTGGATACAACATATATTCCCAGACATTTGCATCCGTCGTTTTCAGAGATTGCTCGCTGTCATGAGAAGTTTCGCCAAGGGATGTTGTACGATGACAATGCTTCAGCTATTCTCCGTTGTGGCCAAGCTTGCTGTAAGTACCTGGAGTCCTGTATCCCATCTCATCGCCACTGCTCTATCTCGGAAATCGTTATGGTATACTACGCCCTGAGAGGTACTATCAATGATAAACACACGCTCAGTCGAAACTCCCCAATGCCGCAATATCAGCCTGGAAATTCTAAGCGAGGCAAACAACATGCACCATCCTGCTTTGATTGATAGCGTTAGACTCGGCTGGAAGGCAGGTCTATTAATGAAGGGTCTTTGTAAGACTTGCAGTCGTTACAGGCGGGCTGGTGCGCGATCCAGAGCGCTCGTTACACGGCAGGAGAAGGAGTTCAGATCGACACGGTGTGATCCAATGCATCGAGATGACCGCACCGGAAACTCCAGCCAGCTCGCCCGGCGCATCTGTGCATTTCGGTATTGGATATGAGCCCTATGAGCCTGGCACGTTTGAGGCTTACCAACTGCACAGGATGATATTCACAGCTCAGGCCCGCCGATGCGACATTGGTACGGAAGGAATATCGTGACCACCGCCAATAAGCAGCTCAGCCAGGCGTCTCCATGATGTCTCGACCGATAAAGCCCTCATATTGGCTTCAAGGCTTTCAGTATATACCACAACCGGGTTGACGTCACAAATGTTACCAGCAACTCGCTGTATGGCTACACGAAAGCGGTTAAGCCTCAACGAACCTGCTCCCGAGCTCGAACGAAGATGTTTGCGCTTTGAGTGTAACTATACTCGGTCAGCCTGGGACGAATCGAGTTTACAGATGCAAAAGCAGACATCCCCTCGCCTTACACCACCTTGGCCAACGTCAAATATCAAAAGCCCGCGAGCGTTGCCAGATTCCGGCCCAGAACTCGCCTAAATTGGAGGATTGATCGGAGGCTACCTTTTCCCCCAATCACTACATTGTCTACGCCGCGAAACACTTCCAACGCACAACAGCCTTGTTCCAGATACCGCTGGATCGGGGCTCAGCGTTAGCCTTCCTCGGCCTGACGTGATCTACGGCCATGACAGCGAAGAAGCCTCAACGGCTGACCATGTGTCCATTGTCGATAACCTGGATGACAATGGCTATGGCTTGATACTTCCTTTCTTCGTTGCCGAACTCAGCCATGATCGTCCCTCATAGTGCGGCAATGTGTATATGGCAAAAAATCGATGTATTGGAGGCTGTACAACTTGCGTTAACATTGCCGAATACCTCGACATGAAGCTGCCAGACCGATACGATAACAGCAAAGTGCAGCCGACCAACAGCTCCGCATTCAGTATTGCTATGGATGGCACAGAAGCGCGCCTGTTTGTCTCATGCAAGCACTACGGGGCGTGCATACCACATGCGGAAACTTGATAGCTTCGCACTTCAGAGACCCGAGCATGTTTTGGAGTTCCGCAACTACGTCCACAATATCAAAGGCGAGTGTCTGAATCAGATTCAAGTATTATCAGACAGCATATTCGGAGATGGCGAACGAGCGGCCATATTGCTGGCCACGCTCGTGAATCAGAACCGCAGAACTACGTCGACGTTGCGCCGGCCCGGAACCGACACTTCTGGCTATGAGCATGGTTAGTAAGTATGGCTCCGCTTGGCCACTGTCTACAGCGGGTCAGGGTCTCCAGCTTACGGGCTGAAGAGCGTAGCGGTAGCAGTTCTGTTGAAACCCGAAAAACTCGACACCACTACCACTGACTGACTGACTGACTGGCTGACTCTGCTGTCTCCGGGCTATCGCAAGGGGATGCGGAGGTTGTTTTCGCATGCTAGTTATCGCAACCGAAGCACTCGCGCCGCTTGAAGCGCTCGATCATAGAGGAGAGGAGATGATGTGAAAATGGTACGAGTAGAAAGTCATATATGCCTTTCTAAACTGGGTAGCCAGTGCTTCCTAGCGGCCCCCAAAGTGAACCTTCTTCGGGAGGGAGGTGGCAGAATCTAACTACGTGACCATCATAATCATCTGCTAATTCTATCGTAAGAATAGTCCGCTGGCCAGACCGATGATATTGTTCTTTTCGGCTAGAAGTATTACCTAGTATTAGGACTTGGGCCACTGCTAGCTAGCTAAGCAGCCAGAACTTTTGAGCATGTAATAGAGAGCTTGCGCTCCTTGGATGTCGCGGTTGACGAACCCTAGAAGAATCACCCAGGCCAGACACATACCCGACAAGTAGAGCCAACAGTCCCAACTGGTAGGGTACTTGGGGGAATCTATCCTTGATAGATGGGTGTCCGTTACGCCTAGCTAGCTTCACGGCCAATGCCAGTAATGCATGCAGTCAATCTCGAGATAACAGTTGGGAGGTACACAGTGGGATATACCTGATCTCGTGCTGCAGCACGTACCTTCCTAACCCGGGCCGAGAAATCTATCATGAATAAATGAACGCGCAAAATTCCATACCAGAAATTCCTCGCGGACGTGTTGCCCCCGATTCGATTCGGAAAATCAGTGTCGTCGAGGATCTGTCCCGGCAAATCTCATGTCTGGGTGCGCTCTTTGATAGATTCGATACCGGAAGCATTCAACCGCACGTCCGTTGGGGCACCACTGCCCATCATGATGGAATCGGCCCATGTCTACCTTATCTCGGAAAGTTCTCTATGACACGGAGTCTAAGCCTAACCCTAAACCTCACGACGAGAACAGCATTGAACGTCGCTCAGATAGATACCAGCCAGACGTTTTCCGAGACTCTGCATCTCGAAAGAGGAGACATTTCAAGGAGCCCTTACCGATGGATTTCATTCTCGTGTCGAGGTACTAGCCTGTTGGAGGGGCTAATCCCAAGAGATCCATCCAGAGGCGCTGAGTCTCCTCATTGTCAGCTGGACCGCTGCCAAAAAGACAGCAGCTTAGAGAATCGGACCTGCCGTTGTTCCATTCCAGAGGAAGACTGGATTGCGTGCTGGAGAGGACGTGGAAGCCGCTCGCATTGCAAATGAGGTGAGGCGCAAATGCCCGGGAAGTTGAACAGGCGATATACCGGCCGGTATGGGACATCGGTTGGGCGCGCGCACGCACGCCCGGCTTGGCATCGCTTATCCGTATAGGGAGGTACGGTAGGTAAGGTAGGTAGGTACATGATACACCGAGAGCCGGAGCTTCGACAGAGCTCACTGCCAGGCTTGGTGGCGGGGAATCTGCTGGATGGGATCCGGCCTGCGGGGAATACGCCGCGGCGTTCGTGATCCTCGCATGTGGAATGACGAGAGAGCAGCCGTGACGAAGATGAGTTCATCAGGTCCCTGTGGGTCTGAGATGTGTTGCGTCCCAAAAGATCAGACATCAGACAAACATCATACCTACATGAACCCTTCGAGACCGGCGGCCAAACACCGACCGCCAGAGATCTCGGTGGAGGAGCCACGGGAGATGGTATCCTGCAGTAGCTAGCACGGTATCTCTCACGGTATATACCTTAGGTATCTGCTCCCTTCCCAGCCCACATCAGATCGTCGAAAGTGCCACCAGCATCGATACTTGCACTTTTTGTAAGGACAGTATGCCAGCAGATGCATTATGCACGTTTCAAGATCTCTCCTCCCCGCGCCTTTTTCGCCTCGAGCAGACCCGTCTCTCGAAGGCAATGTAACATCGAGCAGCGCGGCGGCGATCGTGTCGAATCGATTTGAAGTGATCGTGAAAATTCGCCATCGAGATAAGACCTGGTCTTTTTCTTATAATCACCTCGATGATTCAGTCTCGGCTCTTCGAACAATACAGAATTAGCTATAAGATTAGAGATTCGTAAGAAGAACCTCGTGTGAGTAAAGAATCGTGAGGAAGCCGTGTTGGAAATCAAGGTCTAACGCGTAGGTAAACATAAGTCTCGACATTCTCGAAGCTGCCATAGCTGACACCAAACGATAGCAAAAGCCTTTGCAAAGTCACATTTGGGTGCTCAAGAACCAATTCAAGGCTGTATTTGCACAATATTCAGCGATGTCGCATCGTTATCAAACAAGTATTGAACCAAGCCAGAAACCATACTACATAATGAGCTTCCTGAAAACTGCGTTTGCTCCGCGCATAGGTATATTCATGAAAACAAACCATCTCCCTATTGCTACAATGGCCGCCGACGAACGGTCCATTCGAAAACGGATTTCTCACCTCCGTCAACCAGAAGTCAGTCGGCCAAGAAAAATATCACCATCTCGGATGGAATCAATTCTCATTCTTCTGCGCCTTCAGGACGATAGGGGCATCACGGCCGAATGCCTTCTTGTAATCCTTCAGGTATTGCTCCTTGTTGGCCGCGAAGGTGTCTTCGTAGGCCTGTTTTAAAGTCAGCACTGTGCCCGTTAAAAAGAAGCCTCAGACACCTCTTACCTGACGTTTCTTGGGGTCCAAGGCGTTCCACTCCTTCCGCAGACTTGGTAAACAATCCTTGACTCTGATTCCCTTGAGATCCCCAGAAGCCCATCGTTCAGCTATGAACAACGACCAAGGCAAGGCAGGCCGCTTTGGTAGACGCGGATCTTCAATATGGGGCCACTTCTTGCCAGTAAGCGACTTCAACGACGCTCGTGCATTGTTAGCTAGGCGGATCTCGTCAGTGGTATGCGATGCAACCCATTGCTTGTACTGGGCGTCGTTGTATGCCTGGTTTTGAACAGCGATTCGATTTAATGGCTGATGAATGTCAGGTGTGTCTGAGTACTCAAGGACCGGTGAAACTCACCTCCAATTCCGAGGGACTCAAGTTATTGTACCTGGTGGAGATCTCAAGACATTTAGCGGAACCACTGCCGGGATCCTTCTTGAGTTCTTGAGAGAAGAATATGAGCCAAGCTGTGTGAGGTTTGGCCGTGGGGATACTGAGAGCTGTTTTCTTCAATTCCCGCAGCTGTTTTCGGGCTTTGGCCACCTTCAACTTTTCTTTCTGCGCGTCGGTCAAGACCTTCTTCGCTGACTTCTTGACTGCTGGCTTCTTGGCGACCTTCTTCTTCACTGGCTTCTTGACAGCTTTCTTAACAGCTTTCTTTGGTACCGTCTGCGCCTTTGACTTGGCTTTGGCTATAGTTTTCGGGTTCGGCTTCGCAACGACTTTGGTAGCGGTAGCATAAGAGCGTTGGAGGTTGAGCGGGGATCGACTTTGAGTTGAGACATTGCCCTGGGTGATTTCGACGCGTCGGAGTCGGGAGCTTTGGAGAGCTTGGTTTGTTGATTGGGGACCACGCGCAGCCACTCTCCTGACTGCTGCGCGCCCAATGGAGGACAGCATGATTGGCAGTTGGATGGATCACACACAGTGTGGCCGGCGGTGGCGATTGAGTGTATCGTATTTTATGTAGACTGAAATGCAAAGCTGTTGAATGGAAGGCAGCAAAATGCTTTTGGTTCCTGGCCTCAGCTGAGCTTGGCCGCCCTACTACGCTTTGAGCTAGCGCCATTCTCACGCGGCCGGTGATCTACTACAACTAAATGCGACTGTGATACCTGCAATACATTACCTTAATGTCACCCAACCTCCAAATTATTATCGCGCTGTCTAAATCTCTCCTCATCCAAAGCACCTCGCCGGCCCCGTTAATACTTGGAGGCTGCTCATAGTTCTGCCTACGGACCTTGCCAGAAAGTATTTCTGTCGTTACTCGGGGCAAGAATGGCTCGGCACAAGGACTCTCGCTCACCATCGCCAGCAGGAAGCCAGCACTCCTCGAAACGAATCAAACGGGAGGAAGATGTCAGAAGAGATCGGGATAGGAGAGATGAGGTCCGCCCACAGCGGCGGCGAAGTCGGTCGCGAAGCCTCGACGTAAGCTACTATCCCCGGGCATCATTCATAACCCCAAGGTACTGATCGTGGTTGGAAGCAGCGTCGCCACCGAGACCGTGATATACACAGACGCAGAGATCGATCACTAGACCGCAGAGAAGAAGATTATCATCGCTCCGGAAGACGAGACCGATCAAGAGATCGACGAGACCGATTCGACCGGGAACGCTCTCCAGATCGGCGACGGCGCAGAAGTCGCGAGCGGGACTATCGAGAGAGGCGAGACGAATCTTATGACAAGGCACGAAGGCGCCGCGAGAATTCTACTGACTCGAGGCCCCGTAGCAGAGGTGATGGCAATTTTGGAAAACCATCCGGTAAATCGGATAATGTCAGAAGCAGCGAAGTAAGTACACAACAATAGAGCTCTCGATTTCCTGTCACTAAAGATTCCCAGCCCGTAAAGCCATCAGCCCCCCCCGTGCAGACCGAGGCCGAGAAGAAGGCCGAACGCCAAAAGAAGCTGGAAGCATGGAAGAAGAAGATGGCAGAGGACAAGGAACGAAGAGAGCAAGAGCTTGCAGCTGGAGGTACCCGCAAGCTCTTAGACGAAATCGATCAAAAAGCCGCTGCCTCCACTGCAATTGGGTCTCCAGCCTCACCAGGAACGCCGACGAGCTCTGCACCACCCGCTCCTTATGCCGGTAAATTCGATCCAAAAGCAATAGCAAAGAAAGCTGTGGCCAGCTCGACTTCTGCAAACACTCTGGGCAAGGATCTACCGCTCAACGAGCTAACCAAAGCGTCCGCTACCTTAACCTCAGTGAAAGGACTACAAGCTGACAAGAAGATCACAGCCCTCAGCAGTACATCCCAAGGTAAAGTTTTGATACCAGTGATTAAAGACCAACGCCTTGCTGACATTGCGATGATAGCATCTGCATTGCCTAAGGCAAGGGCAAATCTCAATGCATTCGGACTTGGTGCGAAGTCTGCCTTTGACAACGAGAAGCCGACTTCTACTAAGCGAGCGTTAGATTTCGGGGAAGATGAAGATGCGAGGAAAAAACTAGAAAAGCTACCAACCCTACCTCTAGCAAATCTCGAAAATGATGATGCTGCGCTCGCTAACGGTGCTGAGGGAGAGGACGACGACGACGATGTCAATATGGAAGATGCAGGAACCGAAGAAGAAGCTGCCGCTGCTGCCCGCGCTGCTGCGGAGAAGCGAAGTCTGGCCAACATGGAAGAGCCTACGGATGAATCTGTGAAGACCGTTCCGCATGGTGATGTCAACACGGAACAGTCTAAAGCTATGCAGCCTGAGCAGACACCAATGGAAGAGCAGGATGAAGTCGATCCACTAGAGGCGTTTATGGATGAGCTAGGAGATCCATTTTCCGCACCGAAGCCCACCAACTCTTTCAACCGGAGCCAAAGCAAGAGTCAAAAACGCGAACCTGAACCATTGTTTGGCGACGATGAAGTTGATTTAAAAGCAGTGGAAGCAGATCCTGATGACATCCTCGCAATGGCAAGTAAGGCCAGGAAGAAGAAGGACTTGCCTACTGTGAATTATGCAAAGCTGGATCTGGAACCCGTCCGAAAGAATTTCTACGCCGAGCCGGCCGAGCTTGCAGACATGACTGAGGCCGAGCTTGCGGATCTTCGCCTCGAACTTGATGGAATCAAAGTCGCCGGCAAGGACGTTCCAAAACCTGTGCAGAAATGGTCTCAATGTGGTCTCAACGTTCAGTCCTTGGAAGTAATTCGGAAACTGGGATACGAACGGCCGACAGCGATCCAGATGCAGGCTATACCAGCTATCATGTCCGGAAGAGATGTGATTGGTGTAGCGAAGACTGGCTCTGGTAAGACTATCGCTTTTTTGCTTCCAATGTTCCGCCACATTCGAGATCAGCGACCGCTGGAAGGCTCAGATGGCCCAGTCGGCCTGATCGTGACTCCAACACGAGAACTTGCTACCCAGATCCACAAAGAGTGCAAACCGTTCTTGAAAGCTATGGGCCTACGCGCTGTGTGCGCCTACGGTGGAGCACCAATCAAGGACCAGATTGCCGATCTTAAGAGAGGCGCCGAAATTATAGTTTGCACTCCTGGAAGAATGATAGATCTTCTTGCTGCTAATTCTGGCCGGGTTACAAACCTACGTCGGGTTACCTACGTCGTTTTGGACGAGGCCGACCGTATGTTCGACATGGGGTTTGAACCTCAGGTCATGAAGATTTTCGCGAACATTAGGCCGGACCGACAAACTATCCTATTTTCTGCGACAATGCCTCGCATTATGGACGCACTGGCAAAGAAGACCCTTCAATCCCCTGTTGAGATCACAGTAGGTGGAAGAAGTGTTGTCGCTCCAGAAATTACCCAACTGGTCGAAGTTCGCGAGGAGAAACAGAAATTCCATCGTTTACTAGAGCTTTTAGGAGAACTATACAACAATGACGAGGATGCCCGTACTCTCATATTCGTCGACAGACAAGAAAAGGCAGATGATCTGTTAAAAGATCTGATGCGCAAAGGATATCCTTGTATGTCTATCCACGGTGGCAAAGACCAGATCGATAGAGACTCTACCATTGATGACTTCAAGGCTGGTGTTGTGCCAATTATGATCGCTACCTCCGTTGCTGCTCGAGGCTTGGATGTGAAGCAGCTGAAACTCGTGGTCAACTTCGATGCTCCGAATCATTTGGAGGATTATGTTCACAGAGCTGGCCGAACAGGTAGGGCTGGTGCCAAGGGCACGGCAGTAACCTTTATTACTGAAGATCAGGAGCAGTACTCGGTTGGTATCGCCAAAGCTCTCGAGCAATCTGGCCAGCCCGTACCGGAGCGTCTCAATGAGATGAGAAAGTCCTTCAGAGACAAAGTCAAGACAGGCAAATCCAAAGACAGCTCTGGCTTTGGTGGCAAAGGTAATTACACATCCAGCACCCTGTTCAAAATTCAACCGTCCTACACGTCTCAACAGGCTGGATGCTAATACTCAAAATAGGTTTAGAACGACTTGATGCCGAACGGGAAGCTGCCAGGAATCGGGAACGGAAAACTCACAAGACAGACGGTGACGATGACGAGGAGAAAGAAGACAAGACTAGTGACGAAGAAATTCTACTCAAGGCTGCCTCTACTGTTCAACCCGCTTCTACAGCTGCTGCGCCCCAGCTGCATGGAGTCCCCAAGGGTATTGATCTGGATGGAAAAATCACAGTCCACCGAACCGAGACCGCAGTATCATCTGGAGGTGGCTCCAAGAACCCGTTGGACAAAGTGACTTCTGCTATCGATGCTATCAATGCCCGATTGAACAAGACTGGCCAACTTCGGTCTGGTGTCCCGATTGACAATAAAGGGCCTGACGCTGGTGCCTTCCATGCCACGCTGGAGATCAACGATTTCCCTCAAAAAGCAAGATGGGCTGTCACCAATAGAACGAACGTCGCCAAGATTCTGGAAGCAACCGGCACGTCTATCACCACTAAGGGCAGCTTTTATCCCGCCGGTAAGGAAGTACAGGCAGGTGGGGATCCCAAATTGTATATTTTGGTGGAGGGCGATACCGAGGTTGTGGTCACCAACGCTATGCGGGAGTTGATGAGATTGCTGAAAGAGGGTACTATGGCTGCTGCAGACGCAGAAGGCAGAGCGCCTGCCAGTGGTAGATACACCGTCACATAGGTAACACAATGCTCACGAAACACAATTTGTAGTTCAGCATCGCAATATGAGAAACAAGTCCTTGATCAAATTCATCAACGCTCTATTGTGAATGCATGCTACGATCCAGACATGGTATACGAACTATCCAACACCAGAAGGATGTGCTCCGAGCGCAATAACGCTTCATTGTAAATACATGTTCGTCGCTAATTAAACGTCACTAGATCCCACCCCCGGCTTTCCCATTCTCTTAATTGTAAGCCCTCGTATCTGCCGCAGCATCGGCGTCCCTCGCCCTCCTCTCGTCTCGACTCAGCGCATCCAAGGTCTGACTCTGCGTCTGCTTCTTCTGCTCCAGCAACTGGGCCCCTAGCTTCCCCTTCGGTTTCTGCGCATTCGCTCTGGCCTATCCTCTCACGCATATGATCAGCCTCACTCTCGACCTACCACAAGCAAGCAGCGACTCCCCCGGGGTTACGCACCTCCGCCGCCTCTGCGGCTTTCCTCCTCGCGTCCTCCTGCGTACTGTTGCTGCTGCTTTGATGAGGGTTCGGCGATGGGTTCGAGCCTAGGGTCCGCGGAGGCCCGCCGACCTGGACTTTCTTTGGGAGGGCGGCGGTGGTGTTCTGGTTTGGAGGGGGCGCGGAACCGACGGTACGGCCGGGTTTGGCGAAGGCGTCTGAGGGAGAGGGAGACTCTTTGCCGCAGAGGTTGCCCATGTTTGATGGGGAGGAGGGGAAGTAGAGAATTATACGAGTATCTCGGTACGGGCGTTTGGAGAAACGGCGATGTGGTGGTGGCGGGTGGTGGTCAGAGGCGCATTTGGAAGCATGGTAGAAAGGTTTGGTTGAGTTGAATGAATGTCGTTCGTAGGAAGGACCTTGGACCCTGGGCTTGGCGGGGATGGATTCGGAGGCACGAGATCCTGGTCGCGGCGGCTGTTGGGATTGTGTCTTGGTAGGTAGGTACCAGTACTTATCATAATTACTGTGAGATGAGATGGGGAAACATCATTTGTTCTTCTTCTGTCTCTCGCGCTCATCACTTGGGCGCTCTGTATTGCCTAGGTAGGTATGGGAATCGCCTTATCGATAAGCCCTCGACGGTTTCAGCCCTACGAGGGGTCTGAGTTGTCTTGCTCCTCCAAGTGATGATTTTTGAGCGGTAAATCGCACATATATATACATACTCTCTCTCCCATCAAAGGCGTACCCTGCTCAGGAATCATTATTGTCTATAGCAGGATTTGTTGAGTCAACTGACCGATCTTTTTGCCATCGCCATCTAAGTACTTCAATATACGGATAGACCGGAAAATTGAGGACCCGGATGGGTACGAACATATCCTTCATTCAGCCTCTGTTCACTCCTCTTCTCTTCAAGCACAATCCAATCCGCTCATACCTTCCTATGTATCGGAAACACAGCAGCAACATAACAAGTACGATATCTCGAATTTCTATTAACTCCTGCTGCTGCTGATGCTACTCCCGTGGCATCTGTCATACTTACTCTACTCCCTTTGTCCCACTCACACACCTCATACACCAACCAACGAACCCAGAGCCCCATCTTGGGACGTTCAAATTGCATGACTGGCCGCTTTGGCGATCACCCGTACCAAGAAAGCACCAGCATTCCGATGAACGAGTCCGGCATGGATCCCAATAATATGATCTACCTACCGGCTATGCCATCATCGTATGGCGGTGATGGTGATGGTGATGGTGATGATGGTGGCTATGTCTCCGGTGACTATTGGCAGCATGCGTTTTCGCCAAACGCCGAGCCGACTCACTCGGCGCCATTTTTTCAACCACACCAAGAAGCCTTTCCGACAGTTGGAAACCAGCAAAAGCAAGCTCCGATATTCACTTTTAACGGAACGCCATTCGAAACCTACCCTCCTTTCTCCTCCAGTGCCATGGGCATGTCAACAGCATCAACGCACAACTTGGCGCAAGAGCCACAGAACTTGTTGGCATCTCGAGACTACCGGACGCCGCCCACCAAGCGTCAGAGAATATCACTTACTGGGCAGGACTATGGAGATTTGCCAGCCAGCAGTGGCCTCCGTGAAGAAGACCAAGATTCGTTGTGTGGGACCGAGAGCGAATGTTGCAGCAGCTGCTCCGGGGGAATACCTTGCGATGAGCCCAACTGCTCACCGTGTGATGAGGAAGACTGTGTCGGCGAAGCGGTTGAACTGTGCAGTGAGAAATCATGCTCAAAACCTGCTTGCCGGGAAGAATGCTTCTCCATCGCGTTTCAAAACCAGACCTCTTTGGACAATGGACCAAAATCACAAGAAAATGCTCTGTCTTCCCAGAATGCTCCGTGGAGCCCGCAAATGGTGCAGCAAGGCATGGGTCATACCCGGAACACAGGCGTTTCTAGCAAAGTCGGCTCTGCTGCTTTCGAACATTCTCCTATTACTACACCATCAATGGTCGGCAACAGCGAAACGCCCGCATCTCCATACCATGCTTTGCCAACATCTCAAAACCATGTGTTTGATCGGCATAATGTATATGCAAATACGTCTTCTGACGACCTGTCGGGAACAGGCTCCCTGTTCAACACTTCTGAGCCATGGGCCAACCACTCCTATGGTAACGTGAACACCGAGAATGGTCAGGAAATGCTGCCCTGCAGCTGGGAGAACTGCGACTACATAGGTCTTGATCACGATGAGTGGTTGACTCATTTTCACATGGATCACATCGATACCCAGATGAAGTTTGCATGTCCTATCCCTGCGGACAACTGCCCAGCAACAATTGACACCAACCCGATGAACCACTTACAGGATTTTCATCATATCAATTGGGATTTCAGCTCTCCAGCGTTCTGCCCGGCTACGACATGTTCTCCAGATCAGTCGTTTCTAAGCCTGGAGATGCTCCATAACCATTTCGACATGGCTCACGCTAGACCAGCTCAAGGCTCATTGCAGTGCCGGCTACAGACATGTAACGGTACCGAGTTTGATGATCCTAACCAGTTCCTTTCTCACATGCAACATCATCTTCAAGCTCCAGTATCGAAGAACGAAGAGCATATCGAACTTCTAGCCCCAGGTGGTCCCGCAGCTACAGAGCTCAAGAAGGAGGCACTCGGGCCTGTGAACCTTCCTCACTTATGCATGTGGAAGTCTACGAATGGAGAGCTTTGCAGCTTTGAAGGGAAGGATGCGAGCAGCCTCCAGGATCACGTTAAGAAGCAACATTTGAGTTCTTTGGGCAAGAGTACTGGCTACATTTGTCAGTGGGACGGCTGCCGTCGAGACTCGAACCTCGGTGAGAAGTCAGGCTTTTCGCAGCGAGGGAAGCTAGAGCGCCACATGGCAAGTCACACCGGCTGTAAGTAATTCCCAGTGCCCCTTCGGGAAACGATGCTTACAATTCTAGTCAAATGCTCGATTTGCCCTATATGTCAACAAGAGTTCTCTGCACCGCAGGCCTTGAGACAACACATCCTGCTCCACACTGGAGAGAAGCCATGGAAGTGCAAACACTGTGACAAGAGATTTCCTCAACAGAGCGCATGCAGTAAGTCATCTCGCGAGAACTTCCCAGAACATTCACTAATGATGTGTAGCCATCCACGAGCGAACACACACTAATGAGAAGCCGCTTGAATGTAACGTCTGCGGGAAGAAATTCTCTGAGTCCTCTAACTTGGCTAAGCATCGAAAGATTCATGGCGAGAAAGGTTTGCATGTTTGTCCCATTTCGGGATGTGGGAAGTCTTTCCATAGGCTTGACCAACTGAAGAGACATGCTTTGACACATGATAAGCCGCCGAAAGATGGCACTAAGAGAAAGGCGCCTAGGAAGCCCAAGAAAGTTGTTGCGGCCGCTTCGGATGTGTAGTTAAATGCAGTGAATCCGGACAATCTAGACTCTTGATACCTTGTCTTGGGGATTTATTATCGTGTATGGGGGGTGGTTAGGGGCTTAAAATCTCAAGCCGGGGGAGCTCGAAGGAGATTTCTCTCCGGGTGCATTCATTGTACTTGGTCCTGGGCCTTGTTCAGATGCCTAGCTAGCTATGAAAATTGTGTCAATGACCTGGGATCTTGTTTCCTTATTATGAGTAGGCGTGAAGTTCTAGATGCCTATTTGCAAAAACATGGAGGCTGTTAAAAGAGAGAGAAGTGTTTCTCTGGTTGGGGGGGGGGGGATGGGGGGTTTCTTCTTCAGTTCCAACCAGTAATTTTTGTGCTCCAGAGTCTATCTAGACAAGTCGGGAGAGGAGTTGCTTTATGCACACCCTAACAACAGTGGCTGACTGACTTCTTGTGTTGCATTGTGAATACTTCGCATTCCAAGTGGATAGTGGAAAGACGAGCTTAGATCGGAATGGATTTGAACACTACTAGGCATCTTTAGCTGAGGCCTTGGTGCTTGATTCGCTGCTCCTGATCAGATCTCGCCCAGAGTTGTTCTTCAGATCCGATTAACTTCTGTGATTGTGCGAATGTGCCTAGGCATATTACCGATTCTCATATTGTCCCAATGAACCTGAGTTTGACAGATCCTACCCCTGAGATTCAACCCTAGAATCACCTTACGAGCTCAAAAGCCAAACCAGAAGCGATAGTTGTTCAATGTCGTGACTTTATTTCGAGGGGTTGGCTCCATCGCCAGCCATGCTATTTTCTCACATACACCTTAGTTCCCCTGCTCAAAGAGAATCAAGCCAGAAAGCAAGCCCCATGCCGAAAAAAAAACTTCAAATCCCTTTCCCAACGCAGCCGACGCAGAAGCAGACCAGAATCCGTCCTCCCATTTTAAGCCTCGGCCTTGATAGCGTACTTTCGCTGCGGGAAATGGGTGGCGCGCTTCTTCTGCTTCTCCAGCGTCATCTCTTGCTCGTGCTTCGTCAGGCGTCTGCGGATGGCGCGGGTTTGCTTTGGGCGGAGGTCGAGGGGCAGGTACTTCTTGTTCTTGTAGAAGAGGCGGAGTTGCGAGCGTTGATTGGCGTTGATGACTGTGAGAACCTTGGCGATAGACTTGCGGAGATCGTGGCTATCGAGAACACACCACGTTAGCTGGCCGTCCTAATCTCCTCTGCGGGTAGCTGTGGCCTGTGTGGTAGGAATCTATCTTCAAGGCGCACGTTGACCACATGGAGCGCTTGGTGGTGATGCGGCTGGGCGGAAACTTGGAGCGGGAATCTTCATGGTACGCACATCTTTGTGAGCTTAGAAGCTGATCCGCCGGCAATCTTCTGCGTGCGCAATTGACCGAGTTCAGTCTTCAACTCTCCCAGTTGCTTCGAGAGGTCCGTCTTGCTCTTCGACCAGAGCTGGGTCGTCTTAACCTTTGCTGTAGACTGTCATGAATTAGCCATGCAGTTCGAGCCTCCTCATCGCCTCGTCTAGCGCTTGGACGTACCATCGTGAAGGTTTTGTCGTGGGGTTGGCGATGGAGATGTTGTCGGCGTGGGAATTTTTCTTAGAATCGTGAAGTTGCGTTGTGGGAGGAAATTCGCGTCGGCTCGCAGTATCCAGCCAATCATAGGCTTACACTAGCAACAGTCACGTGTAGGTACCCCTCGGACCACGGTGGAACTATTGATGCGGCCTCGTCACTTCTCCGAGCAGCTGCTTGTCAACTCTCAGAGTTACAAGAGTATCACCGCCTCCAACATAATGTCTTCAACAGGAACGGGCTGGGCTCAGCTCAGGCAGCAAGCCAGATCGCTGGAAACTCAGGTGATTCTCATATGCAGATTAAGAAATTGCACTCAGTATGTGTGAACTGACCACTGATTAGACAGAAACGCTGTTCCACAGCTATTCTCAGTTCGCCGCGGTCCCTAACATACCTGCGAAGCCATCAGAAGATGAGCGCCAGACAGAAGCCAAATTACAAGACTTGTTAGAAAAGGTACAGCCGTCTTTCTAACTTCCAAAGCCGAGGCTGACAACCGCCAGCGAGAATCACTCAATGGTCAACTCTCCCGGCTCCTCGACTCAGAAGCAACCCTCACGGCCTCAGCCCTCAAACAAAACAACCTATCCCGCCACCGAGAAATACTACAAGAACATCGGCGCGAGCTATCAAGACTGAAAGCGCAGATCCAAGATGCCCGTAACCGCGTGAACCTGCTCTCGAACGTCCGGAGCGACATCGATGCCTACCACTCTAGCAACCCCGAAGCGGCCGAGGCAGACTACATGCTTGACGAGCGGGGTCGCATAGACAACAGTCACAATATGGCAGATAGCGTTTTGAGTCAAGCGTATGCCGTGAACGAGCAGTTTGGCATGCAAAGGGAGACACTGGCAAGCATCAATCGCAGGATTACAGGAGCGGCGGCTCAGGTTCCTGGACTGAACAGCTTGATCGGAAGGATATCAGCCAAGAAGAGGAGAGATGGAATCATCATGGGGAGCTTTATTGCTTTCTGTTTCTTGGCCTTTGTATATTTCATGTGAGACGATGAGTGGCACTGATTTCTGACTGCCTTCGGAGAGCGGGCGTTTGGTTCGGGTTGCTGACAAGCCAGACATGGTAATTTGTTACAATTATGGGTATATCCGATTAACATCACGCTGCAGATGTAGATTTTTCTACAGGTTCTGCGGCTTTTTGAGAGAGAGCTGGTCTCGTCCTCGGATTGGCCTTCAGCTCCTCGATCAGTCGTTTGGTTCCTTTGACTAGCCCCTCCTTCTCGTCTCCTTCACAAGGTCCACTTCCTGCCCATCGTATCCTACACTCCCCATCCAACAAGTACGTATACCCGACCTTGCTATTCAGCAGTCCAATAGCGTCTCTAATCTCGTCTGACATCCCTTTCCTGACCAAGAAATACCGTCCCCAATTCCCAACACCCATCTTCTTTCTCAAGCCTGGCATGAATAACTTAACCAACATGGCCTTCAACGCATTCTCCTCGATGTTAATCTGTACCATCTGCGCGACGCCCCCACTGTTTGCGACTACCTCGTGGACCTCAGGATTGTGTTTCCGCGATGCGAATGTGGCTGCTTGGTTCTCTGCCCACGCGCTGCTGAACACACTGACAATCGACACTTTGTCCTCGAAAAGCGGAGTCGTATCCCGGAGCTTTTTATCTTTCAGCAAGGTCTGACCTTGGATATTCGGGAAGTATAGAGCGCGCTCTGCTTTGAATAGGCGAGGGGGCGCGAGGAAAGACTTCCCCTTGTGTAGGCGCATGTTGCTCCATTCTCTGAAATATGGAGTTGAGATCTTTCTGGTCCTGCAGAAGCACTTAGTCTATTGCCAGACACTGGATCCCGGACCGTAATTCCTACAGCTGCTTCCTCCTAATAAGATGCTTGTCGTGGTCCACGAAGTCATCTCTCCTTTGTCTCCACGTCCTAGTGTCTATACCAGCGTTCTCTCCAGCTCTGGGGGGGTTCGTTAGTCCGATGGGTCGGCCTAGAGGCTTGGGCGTAAAGTCGGAGACGGCTTTGCCATGGCTTCTTGGTGCATCTGCGAGAGGTCCTTCCAGGACGGGCGGAGATGAAGCTGCAGGAGCTGGGTTCTCAGCGAGCCGACGATACGAAGTGCTAAAGGAGCGCCATTGGCAGAGCAGGCATGCCACAGCGTCAGAGGTTAGAGTTGAAGTCGGTAGCGTTCGTCGTGGAATTATCATTTTTCCTCTAGGTGGGCAGCGGAGAGTTGGCAGGGAAATCTACAAGTTTTCCTGGGATCGGTAACTTCTCGTCCACGGACCTACGTTAACCCGAGGCCTGATTCCTAGTAGACGTGACACGCTGCGAAGCCGACGAAAGCCGGGTCCCGCCACCTCATGTGCTTCAACAGCCCCTCAGAGAGAATGTGAGTCGTAAAGACATTTCTCCTTTGACAGGAGTCCCAACGTCTCGAACCAGTCACAGAACCTACGATGCGTCTTCAACTATTTTCCAGGATTTCGACAGCTCAATGGCGAGTTTACAGGAGTCTCAAATTCCCGAGACAGTTCCCCTCCTCCTTCAGCACTACTGCCAGGGCCCAAGCCATAAAACCGTTCCTGCTTGCGGATATTGGAGAGGGTACGTGGACAAAAATTTGGGTCTGTTGTGAATATGTTTCTGACAGTCAGAGCAGGAATCCGCGAATGCGAAATCATTCAATGGTTCGTCGAGCCTGAAGCTCGGGTCGAGGAGTGGGACAAGCTTTGTGAAGTACAGAGCGATAAGGCTTCTGTGGAGATCACCAGTCGCTTTGCCGGTGTCATCAAGAAGCTGCACTATGAAGCTGGAGAAATGGCGAAAGTGGGGAAGCCGTTACTGGATATAGATATACAGGGAGATATCAATCAGGAGGATCTGGAAGCTTTGACTGGGACCGGCGAAGGGACTGGAATACAGCCAGAAAAGATGCCTCAACAAACATCTCCAGAAACAAAACCTACACAGCCATCGTCAGAGAAGCCTTCGCCAAAAGGAAAACACGCATCACTAGCAACTCCTGCTGTAAGACATCTGACCAAAGAGTTGGATGTTGACATTCAGGATGTCCGCGGGACTGGTAGAGACGGTCGAGTCTTGAAGGAAGATGTCTACCAGTTTGCGAAGGCACGGGATAGTGCTCCTGAGACTGGCTCTGGTAGCCCAGCAATTACTGCTCCTGCTTCGAGTAGTGGCCCTCAAACCGAAACACTGACTCAACTATCAAATACCCAGCACCAAATGTTCAAGACCATGACCAAGTCTCTGACAATACCGCATTTCTTATATGCAGATGAGATTGACTTCTCAGGAATATCAGAACTGCGCGCTAGACTGAACAAAGGTCTGGTAAAGTCCCCAGTCAATGACATTAGCAAGCTCTCCTTCCTGCCGTTCATAATCAAGGCGGTGTCTATGGCACTCCACCAGTACCCGATACTCAATGCCAGAGTGGATTACGACTCGAACTCGTCGAAGCCCGTACTGGTCATGCGAAGTCAACACAACGTCGGTGTAGCCATGGATACCCCCACAGGACTCATCGTCCCTGTGATTAAAAATGTATCCAGTCTCAACATTCTCTCTATTGCTGCTGAGCTCAACCGGCTACAGTTACTCGCATCCAAAGGCAAATTGACGAGTCAAGACCTGAGCGGCGGTACTATTACGGTCTCAAACATCGGCAGCATAGGAGGCACATACGTCTCCCCGGTTATCGTCGACAAGGAAGTGGCCATCTTGGGAATTGGTAAGATGAGGACGATACCTGCTTTCAACGCCGAGGGTCAGATGGTCCAAAAACAGGTATGCAACTTCAGCTGGAGTGCAGACCATCGTGTAGTAGATGGTGCAACTATGGCCCGAGCGGCAGAGGCGGTCAGGGGACTCGTCGAGGATCCGGGAATGACCATAATTCATCTGAGATGATGACGGGTGAAAGAGCTCAGCATATGCTGTGCATATGCTGTGAGACGTATAAATAATTTCCAAGTCAGCAGTATGCGGGAACTGAAAGATGCCGGGCGTGGATTAAAGTACCGTGGTCTTGTGGCAACATTTGAAAGGCCAATGATGCCTCATGGTCTCAGCCTCACGTTGTATGCGCTGTCACAAAGCACAAGGCTGATCTGTGGGGGTGGATTATACCCCGCAAAGGACCGGGCAGAATTGATGCAAGGTCGGACAAAGTAGGGACATGGATGGAGTTACGTTAGGCAAAAAGCAAGGCTGTCTTGAAGATTACCCGCAGAGCGCAGAGCGTCTAGAGATCTGCCCAGCAGTCCTGAAATCTAACTGGCCGAGCCTTGGCTCTATGCATAGCAAATCGATTGCGGTCCGCGGTCCGGTGTCTCTACCCAACGCCTTTTAATTGCGCCGTGAATTTGCATGCTGCATTCCTATCCCGAAAAAGCAAAAGCCAGCGGCATAATAACACAATAACACGCCGGTAAATATGACCTGGTGTCCCCGAACCTGTTGGCCCTTGCCCAGATATGATAACTCCATGCCAGTACAACTCGCCAAATCCCACGCCCAGTCACCCTCTTACAAGTCTCTGACCATCTCGGACTTGACCACCTCTCGGATCTTTGCAAAGGCTTCCTCCTCGACCTGCTCTATCGAGCCGCTCACATCCACGCTTATGACATCGATCTCGTCCCTTCCTGGGGGCTCCAGGATGCTGAACTGGCTGTGTACCATGTCACTCCTCATGAAGTGGCCGGGTCTGGCATTCACCCGTGCCGTGAGCACCTCTTCCGGCGCGTGTAAGAAGACGAAGTGGACGCGCAAGCCGTGCGAGAAGTAGGGCGCGACCCGGATCACGTCGCGGTACTTGCGCTTGAGAGCGGAGCAGGTGAGCACGACCCCTCGCGAGCCGCCGGAGGAAGAGAGACGGGAGATGGCTTCTTCGCGGAGACGGGTGAGCCAATCCCAGCGGTCGGCGTCGGTGAGGGGGATGCCCTGCGACATCTTCTCGACGTTGGCTTTGGGGTGGTACTGTGTGTGCCCGTCAGTGCCCATTTTTCTCCAGGAGAGAGGGAAAGAGGAGATCGTACCTCGTCACCCTCGATATACGGAATGTTCATGCTCTTGGCCAGGTACTCTGCGACGGTGCTCTTTCCGCATCCTGCTGGACCGGTGATCAGCCAGAGGTGATGATGTTCGGTTTGCGGTTGGCCGTTAGCTCGCCGTGGGCCATTCGAGAGTGTGGTTGAGGAGGGAGTGCTAAGTGGCAGGTGGTCGGCGGTTGGCGGAGTTGGCTGCGCCATCGTTGATCGATTCTCGTAGGAAAGCATTGTCGACGGAGTTTCGGCGCGAGCACAGCAACTATGTATACAAACAGGTAGTGTATGTAGAAATTGAGTGTTTCCAGGCACGCGACAAAGGGCGGCCAGCAATCAGTCACACTGAAGTCTCAGCCGACAAAGAGAGCGGGTTTTCGATTGACGTAAGGGATGGATACGGCGTAGGTAGGGTAAGTAATTGATAGATAGATAGATTGATTGATTGATCGGAATAGGAGACAGCACAGCAGGAGAGACAATTCGGCAAGCGAACAGGAGAAAAAGAGGTATATAATTGCGAAACCATCCATCTCCCCATGACGGTGGTGGGGGAGGGGGGGGGGGGGAGGAAGGGTTCCAAGGCCTTCTTATGGAATTCAGGGAGCGGTCCCAGGGAATGGATGGGATGGGGACCCAACAACGTCAGGGCCCGACCGGATTGCACAGCTGAGCCAAAAAAGCAATGCGATGTAATGCCCCACTGTGAATTGGTGCTAAGTATGAAAAGCGGCATGATCATGATCCCTCTTTTTTTAAAAAGAAGTAGAAGAAGGGGGCAACGAAAGCAAATTCTGACCGTGGTTGGGGGGTATCGGATATGGAAGCTAGGCTGGATCCAGGTCAAAAGCCGACAGACAGCGCGCGGGTGCGTCAATAGCCGATGATTGAATGGAAATGCTGTGGGGGTGGCGCGGCTACGTGCCCTGGGTTCATGCCATCGCCACTGCGAAACTAAGTTGAAGAACGAATGAACGAACGGAGCGAACGACTTGGTTGCAAAGGTTTAATAATAAAAAAGGGGTGGCTATGGTTGGACAAGAAGTCCGGCACCTGTGCGATCGATGCCTGGACCAAGCAAGCTTCAACAGTTTTTTTTTCTCTCTTCCGGCCTTCCTATTTGCTCAGCTGTGTTGACGACGCGTGGGATGTGGGATGGGGATGTGGGATGGAGTACCTTACCCTCCCCTTCCCTTCCTCCCCCTTCCCCCCCTTCCCCTTCAAAAGTGTTCTTTGATACTACTTCCTATGCACAGCACTCCGACTCTGTGTTTTCTCCCATGTTACTGACTGCGGTGTTTTATTCTTGTGGAATCCTGTGTTTGATCCTCTGTTAGATCCTTTGTTAGATCCCTTGATGGTTCCCGAATATTTCCCTCCCTCCAAAACACCCGGCCTCCATCCCCCTCGCGTGTTTCATTCATTCCCTACTTCACTTCACAATACTGTACTGTACGGTACTACAGTCACTTTAAGCTCTTTTCCTTTGCATACTCTGCTCTGTATCTATACTTCTTTCTACCTTGCTCCCAAAGCCGTGGTTCTTGCATGGTAGCCAAGAGGTGAAGGGGTTTGATGTGTTAGTTGATGTGGCTGCAAAGCGTGGGGGTTAGCTTCTTTACGTCTTTACTTCTGTACGAAGTATACTTACTTCGACGTACCTAAGCACTACGTACGTAGTGCAACGACAACCGTGGCTTGGCTATGGCGGGATTCGAATTTAGAGGTTCTGGATCTCTCCGCCGCTGCCCAATCCAACTTTCAGAGTCTCACTGGCGGAGTGGCCCATATCCCGTTCCCGTATCGCTCCCTGCGGTCGAGCTCAGATGTTGTTGCACACCGCTGCCTCTTTCAACACTTTGAGATTCTACATTCTACTCTCCTCCTTCGTACATAGTAGTAGGTACCGGTATTGATGTGATATGTATGTATATGTGTATGTATATGTGTATGTATATGTGTATGTATATGTATATGTATATGTATATGTATACGTAAGCAGAAGGTCGCGACGGCTGACCGGCCACCAGGTCGGGGCCGGGGGTCGGGGGTCGGGGTTATGGGGAATCGCGGAGATCGAGATAAATGGCAGTGCCAAATCGGAAAGGATGGAAAAGCCATACGCGGGAAGAAACAAACCGGTTTCACACTATTCCTGGATGTTTAGCTCCCTCTTCCACAACCTGAGCTGGGAAATGCAATTTGAGCCTCCTCCTAGTCGTACGCAGTGTGAGCTGTACGTAGTATGTAGTCAGGGTAATGTTTTCATGGGGTAGTACGGTAGGCTCAACGTAGCGGCATGGATCGAAGTCCATGATCAACCGCGCGTAGGTACTACTGTACCACTTTGTTCCGGAGAGCCTTTACCGATCGCATCCATGACAGTCGCAGCTTGAGAGGGTATCCTGGAGAAAATACAATCCCCAGACTCACTACCGGCTTACGACGTACTGCGTAGATGTGGCTGAAGCTGCAAGTATTTCGAGTCAGCAGCTGCCTCGGCCGCCATAAAATGCCATGTTGGTCATTCTTTGCTAGGATTCTGTAAAGGGGAATAAGCGGCGATAGCTGCTGGCTTGGTTACGCCGTCGAGTCGGCTAGTTTCGGTCATGGATGCATGATGTACTCCGTATCTGTATATTGTTGGTTACTTCTTTGATGCGAGAAGAGTAATAATGTACCGAGGTTCAGTCAAGTATGTATCTACGGAGTCGAGGTATCTAAGGTATCTATCTACCTACCGGTATCTATCGATCCCTTGGAAATGACCAAACCCTTCGTGATCCGATGTTCATTTTCCATGGATTCAAGCAAGCAAGGGCTCAAGTTAGCTAGCTCATCTCCATAGATCACATGAGCGAACAGACGGCTTCCTTCGAGCGCTTTGTAACTTTTGATAGTTCAAGAATGAAGAGTCCGAAAGTAAGCCAAAAGCAGCGAGAAGCTCTCGAGTCAGTCAGTCGGACCCTTCTCTACCCCTCACTTCACGTGACCACGACCCCCACATATGCATGCACGGAGTTAACGTCGCTTAAGCGAATGTACGTACGATCGTACACGTACCGTAGACCTATCAATATCATGGCTGGATCTATGAAGTACGGAGAAACAATGCTAAGGTATTAGTGGGGGTGCGTGCCGAAAAGCCGTCTCAGAGACAAACATGGCAAGACATCTCCAGCTCCTTTTTTCTCAACAATTTTTCCTGCTGGCCTCGTTCCCCATCCACGATTGCCCCCTGGAAGATCTCTCATCCAGCTGTTGCTTCGTTCGAGTACTTTTGGTCCTTCTTCTTGGCATCACCTAGAGCTACGATTTCAAGAGCCTTCTCAAGACACCTAACCTACCTACCTCACAATGGCGACCACGATGCAGCGGGCAAATCGCTTAAAGACGGCTTTTGACGCAGCGAAGGGTCCCAGTATGGGATGTTGGTAAGGTGAAGGGTCTCGTTCGTTCGTGGGGATGGCGAGAGCGAGAGGCTAATGATGATGATGCTGGACAGGCAGATGTTTCCGGGGAGTAACGTCTCCAGGACTCTGGCTAGAACAGGTGTTGATTGGGTATTGGTTGACTGTGAGTCTGATTCATGGAGGCCAAGTTCTCTACCGGAACTGACCTTTGTGATCAGGTGAGCATGGAAATATGGACGGTAGGTGCATACTCTTCCCTTCGGCCCTTGGGGCTTGAACTACCAGGTCACTTGAGCTTCCGATGGGCATCACTTTCGGGCATCATTGCAGTCCTTCCCTTCTCTGGGCAACTTGATGTTGACTTTAATATCGTTTTGGGGGGGGGGTAACCCTAAGCGAGCTAACGGATCAAGACATCGGAAGAGGGCCTTCTAATAATACTCTATTACTCCACATCTGTTGTGTTCTGACTCGATATTTTCAGATGCGGCTATGCACGAAGCTGTGCCTGCCATAGCAGCCTGTGGTGTTAGCCCCATTGTCCGGATACCCGACAATCAAGGATTTTTGGTGAAGCGTGGGTCCTTCTCACTACCTCCAACAACTCGACTAACAGGGAGCAGGAGCACTCGATTCTGGAGCACACGGTGTTCTTGTCCCTCTATTATATACTGTCGAAGATGCCAAAAAGCTCGTCAAGAGCGCCAAGTTCCCCCCGGCCGGTCAGCGTGGATTCGGCTCTCCATTTCCACACGAGCGCTTTTCTCCTTCTCTGGGCTCAACCGATTATCTGCAACAAGCCAACGATGCTATTCTCGTGATGGTTCAAATCGAGACCAAAGAAGCTCTGGATGACGTCGATGCTATTGCCGCCGTCCCTGGCGTTGATGTTTTGTTCGTTGGTCCCTTTGATCTGGGGAACAATATCGGACACCCAATTATTGAGGGCAAGATGGATGACAATTTGCATGCTGCTATCAAAAAAGTATTAGAGGCTTCGAGGAAGGCTGGGAAGAAAGCGGGCATCTTCTGTACAAGTGGGGACCAGAGCAAAGGTAAAAATATACACCCGGATCCTTTTTTTTTTTTTTGTCGCTGTTTCTTCTCTCTTCTCCCTACCCCGCCCCCGGAAACCCGTGCTAACCTATCAGGCTATGCGGACATGGGGTTCGATATGATCAGCTGCGCGACCGACGTGATGATCTTACAAGCAAGTGTTATGGGTGCGCTATACACGGCAAAGGGGTTGGGTGAAGTCCCAAAGCTTACTGGTCCTTACGGGAAATAGATGGCCCTCCGGAGCAGAGGGTCTAGGACATGATTCTTGACCATGCGACTTTGGAGAAGACCTAACCGTACGCCTGATCGACTTAGCTCATCTGAGAAACATAAACAACTCAAAAGTCTTCTGGACAGGACTTTACGACTTTTGATGTAAACAAATGGGAATTACATCTGTAATGCTGCGACGTCACACAAGTTTAATTTTTCTCGCTTACCGGAAAAGGGGGTCTCGAGCCAGCAAATCCACAAATCAACAAATCATAGAGCTTTCCATTAATATCATCTCGCGGGGAAAACTCAAAACATGGTTTTTAAAATGTGCTCTACATGCCAAAAGGGAGTACTGGGACTAGAATACTTGGCACCCGGAAGCCACCTACTTACCAATTACATGATCCAGATCCAGAGTTACCTATTTACTTACATTATAACCGAGAGATGACTGACCTTTATAATAGCTAGACTAGATACGTAATCTCAAGCTACTTTTTGCAATATTCATCTCCATCTCCATCTTCATCTTCATCTTCATCTTCATCTGCCACTCCCACTCCTACTCCTCTCCCATAATAACCCAACGAAAGGAGGGCCAAGAAAAAAAAAATAAGGTTCCAAAAGAAGAAGAAGAAGAAGAAGAAAAGATACGTAAATCCCTCTCTGGATGGGAGGAAGGAAGGAAGGAAGGAAGGAAGGAAGGCAGGAAACTCGTTACTTCATTCATCTAGTGTACAAGGATAGAATCGCTATCAGACGGCAGGAAAAGGAAACAGTGCAAAAACAGTGGAATAAGTCTTGCGCGCGAGAGGAGTGGATTTTTTTTTTCTTAAAAAAAAAAA